CTGCCCAAATCGCCCCCTGGGGTAGGTAGGCAATTTCTCTTACAAAACCTCTGAAAGTAGGCAACCCACCGCAAATCGCCCCCTCCGTCAGACGGACTTACAACCGCGCCTGCATTCAATGTGCGTCTTCCCGGGAACACACTAGCTTATTTTCAGTCCCCAAAAAATTCGCAAAAAAACACATGAAAATGAAAACATTTTCCACAAATTTATGGAAATTCCGCAAGTAGACTGTTCTGACTAGACCAGTTAAACCAATCTTGTAAATAATTTACGACTACAATATGCACTTAGAATTGTTAAAGTCCAACCTCTCTTCAGATCCATATCATCCATGTCGGCGTTGCGGATGCGACGCAATTGCTTCTGGAACTTGCGAGTGATCTGCTTGCGCACGTAGTCCGCTTCGATCTCTTGCTTGGTGCGGGGGATGCGGAAGCGTATGCAGCAGCACAGGGCGATCACTGGTGATCAGAACGGACAGGGTCAGGATCATCCGGCCAGATCATCCCCCACAAGACACCCGCGCAGAACTCACCCAGGCTGCAGAAAGCGCCGACGACCATGAACAAGATGTGCCACCTCTTGACGCCCGCGACCACCTCATTCTCCAACCAGTCAGTCTCCGGCGCGATGGTCGTGGTCGTAGAACAATTCTGTCGGGGGCAATAACACATGTGTTATTTATGAAAGGGTATAAATGGAGGGGCCCCCCAGGCGCGGGGCACAGAGCGCTCGAGGGCCGCGGAGGGGCGGCGGGGCGGGGGCAAGTTGCTTTGTTGATGTTGACCTCCGTGACCACCATGGGCGTGGTCCTTTACACCGCCGGGTCGATGCGGCGCCGTGCGTCGGGTAGCAGCCCTCAGCCGTTCAAGTCGTTTGCTGAGCACAGATTGGCGGGGGATGATCGCCCATCACACATTCCCGTGACTCATCCCAACCCCCAAAGCCACCACAACACGCTGATCTAATCGACTTCGAACTCAAGACTGAAAGGAAATTAGGAAAACGGGAAACGTTTGGAGGGCAGACAATTAGTATTTTCGTCACGACGGTTTTTTCGTGGTGTGCGTGTGTCGTCCTACTCACCGCGCCGCCCAGCGTGCAGTCCATCGGGTAGTCCCCCAGGGTCGACTCCAGCAGGGCGTCCAGCCCGGTCCCCAGGGCCGTGCCCTGCGCGTCGCCCGCGCCCGGGGACGCCCGTCCGGGGTCGTCCATGGCGTGCCGCGCTGCGTCGCCGCTCTGTCTCACAGTGGGCAGCGCCTCCCGCGCAACCCTCTGGGAGTCGCCCCGCCGCCCCGCCG